CACATGCAAATCTTCAGCCGTTCAGGTTGTTGAACTGGCTGCACTTTACTGCCCGTCACCAAAAAAGGTTCAGAGGGGTCGCCGAGTTAATCTGTAACGGGAAAAACCTAAAAAATAACAAATAGACTAGTAACACCTTAAAGACTAACAAAACATGTAGATGGTATCATGAGCTTTCCTGGGCACAACACACTTCTTCAGATGACAGGAGTATTAGAAGTCCAGATCCAAAAATAAATAAGGGAAGAGGAGGGGGAGGAGAAAGGAGGAAAAAAGGAGGGGGAAAAGAGAACAAAATAAAAAGAGAGAGTGAGTAGATGGTTCAAATAGTTACAACAGGCTGATAAGAAAAATTAGCACCTCCATTGTTTGGTTGGTAGGTTAAGTCAGTGTTTCTCAGCCAGTGGTACGAGTATCCTTGGGGGTACTCGAGAGAAGACTGGGGGAGAATGTCAACACAACTGAAATTTGGAGAAAACTGAATTTTTGTTTTCAATTTTACAGTGCTTTATTATTTCTGTACTTTTTACACCCAAAAATGTCATTGCCCGCCTGGCTATGATTAAGTTGTTTAAACAAACGTTGCAATGGTAAAAAAAAAAGTTGTGTCTGAAAACTGTAGGTATTGGGGTACTAATAATTTCTTTAAAGGGATACTTCATTAAAAAAGGTTGAGAAACACTGGGTTAAGTCATAGGATGTGGAAGATAGTGTGTGAGCCAGCCTATGTCTTTATTCATACTATCTACATAAGATTTAAACTTGTGAATGAAGTTAAGTTTCAACCCTTGGGTTGTGGAATTGGCCTGAAACAAAATGGCGACTTGGAGATCCATTAATGAGTGTCCAGGAAGATAAAAGTGTTCCCCAATAGGTTTTTGTGTATTTCCTTTTCAGATATCTCATTTGTGTCCATTAACTCTCTCCCATAGAGACTGACCAGTTTGGCCAATATACAGGGCAGAGGGGCATTGCTGGCATTTGATGGCATAGATCACATTGGTGGATGTGCCTCTGAAATGAGCCTCTGAAAATACAAGTGAAGTCAGATCCCGCATTAAGATCTGCTAATGCAGAATCTCTCCACCTTCTTTATTTGTCTGCGCTGCATCTGTCTCGCTGAGCTGACAAACAGCTGATCGGCTCAGCGTGGCAGCCATTTAAATTTAAATGAAGCGGCGATTATTTAAATCGCCGCTTCATTTTCCTATGCTGGGTAGCCTAATCTACATGTCTCTGATGTCAGAGGCATGTAGTCTAGACATACCCTAAGGTACCACAAGACTTCTTAATCCTTCCCTGTGTATTGGCTTGTGGAATTGTCCTGAAACAAAATGGTGACTTGGAGATCCATTAATGAGTATCCAGGTAGATTAAAGTGTTCTCCAACAGGTTTCTGTGTGTTGCCTTTTCTGATATCTGATTTGTGTCCATTAATTCTTTCCTGTAGAAACTGTCCAGTTTGGCCAATATACATAGCAATGGGGCATTGTTGGCATTTGATGGCATAGATCATATTAGTGGATGTTCAGTTAAATGAGCCTCTGATTTGGTGGCTGATGTGGTTGGGTTCAGTGAAGAAACTGCTTGTGTAGATGTGTGGGAAGAGCTGGCACTGGCGTTGATTGGTCTCCTGGATGATTATGATGGAGGTATGTCGTGTGGTTATTGGTAAGAATTTGTTTGAGGCTAGGGGGGTGTCTGTAAACAAGGATTGGCCTTTCCTCCAAGGACTCTGGGAGGGAGGGGTCATTTTCCAGGATAGGTTGTAAATTGTTGATAATGCATTGGAGGGGTTTAAGTTGTGGACTGTGGGTGATGATAAGTGGGATTCTGTTGTTTTCTCTGTGTCATGTTGGGCTATGTAATGTTTAGCAATTCTGTGATAGCAGCAAACAGGTTGGGAATTGCAGTCTCAAGTAGCAATGTACCATTATTTTCCTTATCTCTGCGTGAAGTTCCTCGTCAGTTATTTTTCCATCAAATTAAAATGCATGAAAATGCTTTAACATCAGGTCAGCCACTCTGAATAGAAATATTGTTGGACATTAGAGTGGTGCTACAGCATTTATACAATAGTTGTTTAGTAAAAGATTGCCTATTGTGAAAATACATTATGGAATTGTACAGGCTAGTATAAACATTTGGGTTACATTAGTAATGGAATGTAATAATAATTAATTAATCCCACTCTATTGAAATGTATTAGCTGGGGTAGAAAATCAGATGTGCAGAAGCAAATCGTTTCTTGTTAAGATCTCATATTATTTCAAGTATCAGAGGGGTAGCCGTGTTAGTCTGAATCTGCAAAAGTGACGAGGAGTCCTGTGGCACCTTATAGACTAACTGAAGTGTAGGAGCATAAGCTTTCGTGGGCAAAGACCCACTTCGTCAGATGCATGCATGCATCTGACGAAGTGGGTCTTTGCCCACGAAAGCTTATGCTCCTACACTTCAGTTAGTCTATAAGGTGCCACAGGACTCCTCGTCGCTTTTGCATATTATTTCAGAATGCTATGAGCAATATAATGATATATTATATCTTAGAAAAGAATTATTATCGCAGCTCTGGATGTGACTGTAGCCGAGGTTGTGTTCCAGTTTCCATTTAAAGCAGGTATTATACCTCCAGGGGAACTGACAGCCAGGATGGACCCCTGAAGAAGGCGGGGGTGGGGAGAAGAGGAACTGCTCCATACTAACCGTGGGGCCTCAGGCAGAAGGGTAAGGAGTAGGGAAA